CAGCAGGGGACTCCGAGCGCCCCCTCTCCCCCACCGTGGCCCCAGGCTTCTCCTTTGAAATGCACAAGAGTGCCAGCAGAGACTCTTGTACATGCCAAAGATGGAATGCCACTACTGCCTCCTGCCCTCTCCTGCAGAGCTGGGGGGAACTGGCTTTTAAGTTGTCCTCCTCGCCCCCCCGGCACTACCTCCCCTCTTCCTTTTTGATAGAAAGTTCCTTTGTTTGTAAGTAGACTTAAGTACACAGCTATGGCTAAGCCTACTGCAGACCATAAAGTCTTGGTCTGCTAATATTCTAAGAAACTGTTAGCGGTTTAACAAAAATATTTGCCATTTGACAATGTGTTACCAATATTCAATTCATACTGGGTCAGACCAAAGGTCAATCTAGCTCAGTATCCTCTCCTCTGACAGTGGCCAATGCCAGGTGCCCTAAAGGGAATTAACAGAACAGGTAATCAAGTCACTTAAACAGCTGTCTCACCCTACTTGATTAATCAGGAGTCAAGGACCCATTAATGGGTCCACACACAGCTCTACAGTGTTTAGGGTGCCCAGTTCTAGTTTTAGGCACCATAAAATTGCCATCTAAACTGTAGGTGCCTAAAGTGAATAAGCTCTTCATCAGAGTCCCATATGGATTAATTGTATTTGTCTGAGCACATATACTGCTGCTGCCCTCAAGTTGTGCAGACAGCTAGCTCCTATTCAAGCCCAAGAGATTCAGGAACTAGAAAAGAATCAGTCACCTAAGCAAGCAGGTATGCTCAGAGGTAGGGATATGAAGGACTAGTCAACTAATTGCTTCCCCCCCATCAGATAGAGGCAGCAAGGTGGGGGAAGAAGGGATGCTTCAAAGTGGCACCTGAAGCCCAGGGCTAGACTCCAGACTTGCATCGACTATTTGATTATTCAATTACCCGATACGTAACATCCTTACTCAGAGGTTGCCAGAGCCAGTACCATTCAAAAAACAGCACAGAAGAAAGGGCCCACCCTCTAAGCTTTCTGCCTGAGGGCATAATGAACTTGGTCTAAGAGAAGGTGGGCATCGCTCAGTGTGTAATTCCTTGTTCTTTCATATTGCTTAGAGAAAGGAGCCTTCTTGCAGCCCAAATTTGGATGCTTATCTTAGATGCTTTGAATACATCCTTTTCTTCATCTATCATTGGTTACCTCAGGGAGCTCTCTGCCTGTTCTGCTAGCTTTTAACACTTGAACACACCTCTCCTCCCTCCCCATCGGCCACCACATTCCTTGAAAAGGGAGCCTGGGTACCTAGAACTAAGGCTTTTTGGATTTCAGTGTTATTCCTTTGATTGTCTAGATCAGTGGTCTCCAACCTTTTTAAGCATGAGATTTTTTTTTGAATCTACCTCAGACCCCAAACACCCTTGCTCTGCCTCCTTCCTGCCCATTCTGAGGCCCTGCCCCTGCTTACTCCATCCTCCCTCCTTTCCCCATACTCACTCTTATCAGGCTGGGGACTGAAGGTTGCTGTGCAGGGGATGCAGACAGATCTTAGGCTAAAGGATTTGGAATGTGGGTGAAGTTTTGAGCTGAGCACGGGGCAAGAAGTGGAGGTGCAGGAGAGGTTGCAGGCTGGGAGCTTGGGCTAGGGCAGAGGCCTGGAGTGCAGGAGGGGTTCAGGACTGGGGCCAGAGTTCAGAATGCAGACTCCAGCTAGGCACTGCTTACTACAGGTGACTTCTGGGTGGTGGTGCAGGGAGCTACAGTAGGCTCACCCCTACCCTGGCCATGCATCACTTCCAAAAGCAGCCAGTAAACTCTCCATCTCTACTCCCCCCTCTGCGCTCTGTGGAGATGGGGTGGAGGACACCTCCAAGGCAGAGGACAGAAGCAGCATGGCAGTGCTGAGAGGGGCAGGTGAAGTGCCGGCACTTGATCCTGCCAGGTGGCTATTGCCAGTCAAAGGTTCCAAGATCTACCTATAGATCCTGATCTACTGGTTGGGGACCACTGTTCTACATGTTTCAAATTATGCTCCCTTGTGGATGTGGTCCAATATCACCTTTCAAAATAGGATCAGCCAAGCTAGCTGTTCAGAAATCATAAGCTAATGATGAAATTCTTAGACTTGTACCCAACTTCAGGAACAATTCTTGTTGACCTCCTCCCCAGCCTCACTGAGCAGGCACACAGTCCAGGCCACAGATCTATGGAACAGTAAGGTAACGTCTAAAGTTAAGACCACATGGCTCCAAACTGTCCAAAACTAAGTTCTGCTAACTGACTCTAGATGCTTTAACAAACCAAATAAACACTTTCAGAGCTGCTAAGAGTTAATATATCATTGTAAGACTAAGCTCTGCCATTAAACAGATGGTAAAAGTCTTCAGAAGACTAGCACAAGGATTTAAGGATTAAAAGTGAGCATCTCTTTCAACATAAAACATTGCCTAATTGAGAAGCATCATATAAGTGGACCGACTTGGCACAATCCTCCAATGCCAATCCAAGGGTCAACAATTAGGGATGTGAAATGTTAACTTGTTAATGGTTAACTGGTAAGTATGTCCTTTAGTGGGGGTTGGAGCATCCCCTGCAAAGGTGGGAGGAGCCATTCCTGATAGCAGGGCTGGAGCAGACACCCTACCCACACCAGCTTAACTGGTTAACCGATTAAATGGGATTTAAATGTATATTTGGGCCTCAAGCCATTTAGTATACCACCAGATAGCATCTGACATACATGAAGCCATTTGTTGAATTTACAGCCGTTAATCACTTCTCAGATAAGTGACAAGGTTTAAAGAACCCAAGTACCCACAGTGTGCTTCCACAGCCACACTTGTGCAGATAAGTTTCTCCATTTGGCTAGAAATCCTGCTCTGGCTCTTCTGCAGTGAGAGAATTTCATGGCCATGTAAAGAGCCTTTTCTTGCATGAAGTACATTTTGTAAATGAATGCTGTGATGTCATGGAAATACCAGAGCTGTCATGCACAACACACACTAAAAGTGCTCTTAATAGATAAAATTGTTGAAAGTCCATTTCAATGAAGTCACTGTGTCCAGTCTTATAAAAATTAACAAAAACAGAAAGATCCTAAACACCTCTAAATCCATTTATTTTTCTGGGTGCTCCAACAGAAGCTTCCATGGGGGTAGCCACGTGTTAGTCTGTAACTTAAAAAAATTAAGACAACAAATGGTCCTGCAGCACCTTTGAGACAAAAAATGAAGATGGTATCATGAACTTTTGTTGGCAGAACCCACTTCAGATGAATAGAGCAAGGGGTCCACAGGTATAAATAAGCAGAAGAAAAAGAAATAG